CTCTGCCTCCCGAGTGCTGGGATTAAAGGCGTGCGCCACCACCGCCCGGCGCTTTTTTTTTTTTTAAACAGGGAGGAAGTAGCATATGTCCCTTTAAGCTTTGTTTCTTCTAATCAGTTGTTAACAACATTTCTGTGCAGAAATGTGATCTTGAGGTAAGATGAGCACCTGCCCGTCACACAAATACTTCTCACTGGGTTTGGCTGTATTTCTCCCTGATGTCGTGGGATTTGAAGACTCCAAGATGAGAGCTTTTCCTAGATTTTTAGCAGCTTGGCTCTCTCCTTGTTGCCGGTTCCTGCCCGTGATATAGTGCCCCCCCCCCCCCATTTTCATCCATGGAGAATGTTTTTGTGTTCTTTTATGGGGATGTGTGTACATGTGTTCATATGTATGTAGGGACCTCACATGTTTCTTAGGTCCCCTCCCCCACCTCACTTTTTGAGACAGGGTCTGTCATTTGGCCTGGAACTCATAGATTAGTCTATGCTGTTTGGCTTGTGTGCCCCAGGAACCAGCTATCTCTGCCTCCTCAGCACTGAGATTACATGTGTGAGCCACCACACCTGGCTTTTTTTTCTTGGGTTCTGGAGGTTGAACCCAGGTCCTCATGCTTGCAGAGAAAGCACCTTACAGACTGAGCCATCTCTCCAGCCCTAAAATCCAGGTATTAAAGAGACTCTTACACTGTTTTGCAGTGTATCATGGATAGGAAGTGTGAGGCTGCATTCATTACAAGTTATCTTGCTTTTAATATTTTTCTCCTTCTTACTTACCATCTATTAATGTTTTTGTCTTTTTTTAAAATCTGCCTTTCATCATCTCACTATGAGCGCCTTCCTGATCTTCACAGAAGTTGTAATAGTCATTAAAAGTAATTTGTGAACTTATAGGGTTTAATTATATTTTTTTAACTGCAGTTTATCCCACTACAGATTGTGTCAGATATTGTTTGGGAATAATGATTGTGTTTTGTGTATTAGATATGCTTAACATTCTTTTCTTTATAAATTGATGGTATTATATGTACTGATTTTCTGACATAGTTATTTTATTTCTCTGAGTAGGTTTATACAGCCTGGCCAGTTGCAGGATTTCCTGGAGGCAAGGTTGGCCTGAGTGAAATGGCACAGAAGAACGTGGGTGTGAGAGCTGGTGATACCATCCAGGTCCAGCCTCTTTTGGGAGCTGTGCTTCAGGCTCAGGAAATGGACTTGGCACTGAGGTTTGGCTCTTTTCTTTAGTGACTTTGTAGCTCAGAGCTGCCCAAAGGAAATGTAGTGAGGGGGCTGGAGAGATGGTTCAGTGGTCAAGAGTCCTTGCAGAGACCCAACCCAGCTTTGGTTTCCAGCACCCATGAGATAGATCACAGCCATCCATTACTCTAGTTCCATTGAATCCAAAGCCCTCTTTTGACCTTGATGAACATTAGGCACAAATGTGGTACACAGACATACATGCTAGCAAAACATAAATAGATCTTTTAAAATAAAAAGAGAGGTATAAACATGTTCAATTTGGGTTTTCTAAACAGATGGAGAAATGGATTCTTACAAATTTTATTAACCCATTATATGTAATACTATTTTAATACATAGTTATAAAAAGTTACTAGTGAGGTATTTTATCCCCGCCCCCAGCTTTTTTTCTAGATCAAATCTTTAAAATCTAACAGTATATGTTATACTTGTAGCACATTAGTCTGTTTGAGACAAGATCTTACTATGTAGTCCAGGTTGGCCTTGAATTTATGATCCATCTACCATAGCCTATAGATACTGGAAAATTTCTCCTTTGTGTTTGGGATAGAAACCAGGGTTTTGGGCTGGAGAGATGGCTCAGAAGTTTAAGAGTACTGGCTGCTCTTCCAGAGGTCCCAAGTTCAATTCCCAGCAACCTCATGGTGGCTCACAACCATCTGTAATGAGATCCGGTGCCCTTTTCTGGCCTGCAGGCATACATGCAGGCAGAATACTGTATACATAATAAATACAATCTTTAAAAAAGAGAGAGAGAGAGAGAGAGAGAGAGAGAGAGAGAGAGAGAGAAACCAGGGTTTTGCACCTACTGGTACTCCCATTTCTAGCCACGATAACCACATATGTTAAATGAGTAGTGATACACTATATATAATGGTGTAAGTTAAATGGGTGACTATAATTTATGTACAAGGGACTCTGGTGCCCTGGAGTTAAGTAACCCTACATTTGAAGTGAAGCAATCATAACTGATGAATACTTAGCAGTGTATTTCATCTTTACTTGCAGTTAAGTCAGGGCACTTACAGCTTGTTGTGAGTAGCTAAGAAATACAGTTTTTTTCTCTTTGCCACTGAAGAATATTCCAGTATGAACATGTCAGCACTTCATAATTAAAAATGTATAAAAATTAATTTTTTATTGATAAATAATCCCCAGAAATATTTCAGCAAGATAAAGAACTGTGTCCACATTGAGTCATAGTTTGATGTTAAAGACAGTAAAATGTTGAAATAAGAGTCAGTGGCTGACAGAAAAAAAATAGTCTGGATGTCTTTAGACTCAATATTCATATCTTATATAAGTCAGAGAAATCTTAAGAGTAGTACTTTCCATTGAAACACTAGTACAGATCATTTTACATTTTTGGTATCAGCATTTTCTAAACTGTCTTAGCAATTTGATAACTTGGGAAAAATTTTTTTGTTGTTAATTATTTGAGAATTAAATACAGTATGTCTCAGCCATATTTACCTCCCCTCTACCAACTCTTCTCAGACCTAAGCCTCTTTGCCTATCTACCTAACTTTATATTTTTTTTTGTAAATCTATCAAGACTAATTTGTGCTGCTCACATGTCCTTGGATGTATAGCCTTCTACTGGAGCAAGATTGATTAACCAGTGTCTATACTCTTAGATAAAATTGACTCTTCCCCTCCTAGCAGCTAGCAGGGTCTAGAGGTGGGGTTTTGTGCCCAACTCTCTTCTCTCTGCTGGGATTTGGTCTGGCTTGTTCTTGTACAGGTCTTGTGCATGCTGTCACAGTGACAGTTAGTTCACATCCAGAAGACACTGTTTCCTTGTCTCCACTGTCTTGGCTCTTACACTCTTTCTGCCCCCTCTCCCACAATGATCTCTGAGTCTTCGGAGGAGAGGACTCAGTATATGTGTCCCATTTTATGGCTGAACATTCTGCAGTCTTGTATTTTCTGCACCTTGGCTTGTTGTGGGTCTCTTTGTTAATTATCTACAAATAGAATGTTTTTTATTTTATTTTTAACGTGTATGAGAATTTGCTGTGTGTATGTTTGTGCATCATGTGTATGCCTGTGCCTGGTGCCTGCTGAGGCCAGAAGAAAGAATAGGGTTCCTTGAAACTGGAATTGCAGATGGTTCTGAGATGCCCTGTGGGTACTGGGAACTGAACCCAGGTCCTCTAGAAGAGTAGCAAGTCCTCTTAACCACCAAGCCATCTCTGGGTGTTTTTATTTATCTGTGTTTTGAAGCAGTTTTACTCTTTGTAGCCCAAGGCTGACTTGCTCCTGCCTCCTCCTTTTGAGTACTTTAGGTTTGTGCCACTGCAGGTAGCTCAAGATATAATTTTCAATTAATGATAATTCAAGAAAAGAACTTGATTGTATGTTTAAATCACATTCAGCCTAGTAAAAACAAAGTCCTGTTAATACCAAGAATTTTAAATAGCTCTTACTGAAGGGTGAGTATAGTGTCTCACCCATCCTCCAATAGAATTTTGAGTTAGATTGATTGCTGATAAAAGTCGGACCCAAATTTGCTTTGATAAAAGTACCTTTTGATAATTTAATACCACCTTAGTGATAATTTGTGGAATGCATGTGTAAGAATTCAAAACAATTTTCTAGTTGTAATCTTGAGTTTAAAATGTTTTCTTTTGTTTATATTCCAAGCTTGTGTTTTGGCATCATCCCTCTACCTCCTTTGAAAACAGGAAACTGTTTTCAGAACAAAACAGTAACCATTTAATGAACATTGAAAAACAGAGCAAAATCAAAGAATATAATGTTGAGAATCAGTTTTATGTATTAGATGCTTATACATGTATGGTGGTTTGAATGAGAACACCCCCCATAGTCTTATATATTTGAATGCTTGGTCCCCAGTTGTTAGAACTGTTTAGGAAGGATTAGGAGGTGTGGACTTGTTGGAGGAAGTGTGTCATGGGAGTGGGCTTTGAGGTTTCAAGAGCCACACCATTCCCAGCTAGCTCGTTCTCTGCCTTGTGCTTATGGATCAGTGTGAGCTCTCAGACACTTTTCCAGCACAGTGGCTGCCATGCCTGCTGCTGTGCTCCTCATCATGATGGTCATGGACTCTAACCCCCTGGAGCCCCCAAATTAAGCGCTTTCTTTTATGAAGTTGTCTTGGTCTTGATGCTTTATCACCACAGTAAAAAGGTAGTTCAGACCACATCACATGCACACATTTGTAAGAATGAACAAACGTGCATCTATCCTTTAGATTTTTATATCCTCTCATACCTTTCAAGGTATCTATTCCCTTCTTCTGTGCACCATCCTTTCCCTGATTGAGGATCTCACTAGGTAGCCCAGGCTGGCCTCCATCTCATGATCCTCCTGTTTTACTCTTAATTGCTGGGCTCATAAGTGTGTGACTGGTTTATTTACCCCTTACCCCTTTTTAGCAAATGAAATGGTCTCAGTGTGGGAAAGTTGAATATTCCATGAAATACTTGACAGCACTGTTGCTGTTAAAGCAGGTTATCATCAGAATGTGTTGAAACAGTGATACAGGAAGTAGTTGTCATTGTTGGCTGGAATTATGAACTAGTCTCATCTTATTGGGGCTGAGTAGTGTTGAATGATTAGAAAAGACAGTGGATTTAAATGAAATCTTGGTTTTTAAACTTTAATTTCTTTAAAAAAAAGTTGCATTTTAAGTAGAGCAGCAGGGTGTAAACAAGGAAGTTAATTTCCAGTTAGGAAAATAAGTCATTTAAATCATAGTAACTGGAGAATTTCATTAGTGATATTGGAGTTCTTTCTAGTGGAAATCTATACCTGTTCTTCAAATCTGTAACTGTCTCTTATTCAATTAATAAAGTTTAAGTAAGGGCCAAAGGGACTGCTCAGAGGGTAAGAGTATTTGCTGCTCTTATAAGATGACTTGGATTCTGTTCTCAGCACCCACGTGGTGGCTCACAATCACTGTTTTTCCTTCTGGCTTCCACTAGCATCAGTCACTTAGATTGTGTCTCTACATATATGCAGGCAAAATACACATATACAGAAAAACAAATCTTAAAAATAATGTAATTATAATTTGATTCTGTGTTTTACCAATGGAATTCAGTTTACATTAAATTAAGTATGTAGTTGATTCTCATTGTTTATTTGTGGTAGTTATGTTCTCTTGAGGTTGCTGTCACACTGACAGAGAAAACAGAACCATTGTTCTTAGTGAGGAATTTATACAGCTATGCATCTCTTACCTAGACTGATTTTGAATACTTGAAGAAACTAGTTCTTTCTGGTAAGATTCTACTTATGCTGCATCAAGGAACAAGAACACCAGACATGTTAAGAAATTTGCCTGAGACTGTCTCCTTGTGGAGTTGGGTTCAAATCCCCTCCTTCTGGCCCCAGAGCTAAAGTTTGTACTGTACCACATCTGTCCTGCATTACCTCTGAGTCAGAGCTGAGACAAAAGACAGAGTATCATTTTAGTCTTCCTCAGTAGACAATATAGTTACTGGACTATATACTGACCCAAACTTTGGAGGGTGGAGGGCTGTGGTACATCCATAACACCACAATTACTCTGTGGATTCTGGATGTTAAAAATAATTTTTTAGTGAAATGAATTTGTAACACAGCATTCACAGATAGGAGTTTTGGCCATATTGATATAGTTTATATTTTGATTAAATGAGCTTACTAATAAATGTCCCCTGGTGCAAAACTACCTCTGTTGTGTGGGTTACCGACAGAGCTAGACAATTGTGGCTTCTTCTGTTTACACATTGCAGCTGACACATGGAAAAGAGAGTATTTGAAGACTATTTACTTAACTATTTCAAATGTTTTCTTTTGTGGATGTGTGTGCATGTATATACAAATGTATGTGGAGATGGGGGTGTGCTCACTTGTGTACAAGTGTGAATGCCAGGGGTTGATCTCAAGATATCTTACTTTATTTTTGTCTGTCTGTCTGTCTGTGTCTATCTGTCTATTTATTTCCCTCTCACTGAATCTGGAGTGTGCCATTTTGACTAATATGCTGGGTAGCAAGTTTTGGGCCTTCATCTGTTATGTCCTCCTTTGTAGTGTTGAGGTTACAAGCCCATCTGGCATTTATGTAAGTGCTAGAGATCCAGAGTAGAATCTTCTTTTTTGGGTAGCAAACACCTTCTCAACCATCTCTCTAGCCCTTTGGAAACTGTTTAAAAGCATGCTTTTAAAAGTACGGGCACATGGAAAAAAGAAAACATCTTCAACAAATGGTGCTGGCATAACTGGATGTCAACATGCAGAAGATTGCAAATAGATCCATATCTGTCGCCATGCACAAAACTCAAGTCCAAGTGGATCAAAGACCTCAACATAAATCCAGTTACACTGAACTTGATAGAAGAGAAAGTAGGAAGTAGTCTGGAACACATTGGCACCGGAGATCACTTCCTAAATATAACACCAGTAGCACTGAGAGCAACAATTAATAAATGGGACCTCCTGAAACTGAGAAGCTTTTGTAGAGCAAAGGACATGGTCAATAAGACAAAACGACAGCCTACAGAATGGGAAAAGATCTTCACCAACCCCACATCTGACAGAGGGCTGATCTCCAAAATACATAAAGAACTCAAAAAATTAGACTTAAAAATACTGAACAATCCAATTAAAAAATGGGCTACAGAGCTTAACAGAGAATTCTCAAGTGGCTGAAAGGCATTTAAGGAATTGCTCAACATCCTTAGTCACCAGGGAAATGCAAATCAAAATGATTCTGAGATACCATCTTACACCTATCAGAATGGCTAAGATCAAAAACACTGAAGACAGCTTATGTTGGAGAGGATGTGGAGCAAGGGGAACACTCCTCTACTGTTGGTGCACATGAAAACTTGTATAGCCACTCTGGAAATCAGTGTGGTGGTTTCTCAGAAAATTGGGAATAAGGCTTCCACAAGACCCAGTTATACCACTCTTGGGCATATACTCAAGGAGTGCTCAATCATACCACAAGGACACATGCTCAACTATGTTCATATCAGCATTATTCGTAATAGCCAGAACCTGGAAACAACCTAGATCCCCCTCAACTGAAGAGTGGATTACAAAAATGTGGCACGTATATGCAGTGGAGTACTTACTACTCAGCAGTAAAAAACAATAATATCATGAAATTTGCAAGCAAATGGATGGAACTAGAAAATATCTTGAGTGAAGTAACCCAGATTCAGAAGGACAAACATAGTATATACTCACTCATAAGTGGATACTAGATGTGGGAGAAGGGATGGCCAGACTGCAACCCACAACTTGAGAGAGGCTAGCTAACAGGGAAAGACTCTAGGAGGGACACATGGATGACCCTGCAAAGGAGAAGTGGATGAGATCTACATGAGCAGACTGGGTGTGGGGGGGTGGCAGAGGGTGAGGAGTGGGGATGAGAACACAGGGAATTGGGAGGGTAGAGCTGGAACAGGGACAGAGTGGGAGGGTAGGGAGGAAGATACCATGATAGATGAGGAATAGGAAGAGGCAGGGTTCTGGGGAGGCTCTCAGGAATCCACAAGGATGACTCCACCTTGATCTGCTGGCAGTGGTCCAGAGGGTGCCTTGACTGGTCTAATCTGGTGACCGGTCTAGCAAATAACCTAGCTGTCATCATAGAGCTTTTGTCCAGTGACTGATGGAGGCACTGCAGAGATCCACAGCCAGGCACCAGGCTGAGCTCTGGGAATCCAATTGATGAGAGAGAGGAGGAATTCTGTAGGCGAGGGACGTCAAGATCATGATGGGAGGGCGTGCAGAGATGACTGGCCGCACTAGTGGAAGCCCATGAACTGTGGACTGGTGGCTGTGGAGCCCCCATGCGACTGGACTAGGCCCTCTGGATACGGAAGACAGTTGTTTGGCTCAAACTGTTTGGGGGACACCCAGGCAGGGGTATCGTGATCTGTCCCTGGTCTATGGTGCCTGCAATGTGACGTTTTACATAGCCTTGGTGCAGTGGGAAGGGGCTTGGACCTGCCTAGGCTCAGTGTGCTGGGCTTTGCTGACTCCCCATGGAAGACCTCAATTTGGGGGATGTGGGGATGCAGGATGGCTTGGGAAAGAGGGCTGGTGGGGGGGGGGGGCGATCTGTGGATGGTATGTGGAGTGAGTAGAAAATTTCTTAATAAAGAAAAAAAATTCGAAGTGAAAAAAAAAAAGTAGGTGCAGTGATATTAGATGTACCTACTTCCTGTATTTCCTGTATACTACTTTTCTGGTGGAGACAGTGATAGTTCCACCGACCAGATACAAAATGTTCAAATACATGAGCTCTCTTTTTTCCTTAGGCATATCCCTCAGAACCAATTTCCATTGCAGCCAGTACTCTCTTTTTTCCTACTTGCACCCTACTTGCACCTCTTCAGATAATGCACTGTATGGGATTTGATTTTTCTGAAGAGCTAATTATACAAAGGGAATGAAGTTAGCTATGAATAAAAACCTTTCTCTGTGCTAGGCAACTTCAGAATGGGAGTGGTTAGTTTAGGCAAGTGTGTTTTCAGATGTGTTTGACTGACATTGCACAGAAATACCCTTCTCGTTATGACTTAACGTGCAGTATGTGTGTTCATGTGTGTAGATAGATGGATATTTATACATATACATGTATGTGTATTTATCTACATGTACATGAAGTGTATATATGAGAAAATGTTTTACATAGCAGGATTGACCATTACTATGCAGCGTAAGCTGAACGTTTTATATGGGATTGGTTTTTATGGTTTCATGGTCTCCTAATGAATAATACCTTGTGTTTTGAAGATCACTGCCTTAAACCTCATTGGCATCAAACTGAAGATATTTTTCTGCAGGAAATGTGTATCTGAAAAGTGTAAATTGCCAAAATTGTGGAAATCATTTGTTTTCAGGTTTTAAACAAATTATCTTTCTGGTCTGTAATAGCTATGTATGGCACTTTTTCCATGGTTCAGTTTTTAGCGTACCTAATGCTGATTTTTGTTTGCTTTTCTTTCCTCTCTGTAGTGACAAAGATAAGGAAATTAATGAAGAAGAACTGACTGGTTGTATTCTGAGAAAACTAGGTGAGACTAGATTTTAAATTGTTTTCAATTTTAATCAGCAAATGAACAACAAACAGTGCTTGTAGACATATTTTTATTAATAGCTAAGTGAATAGTCTCTTATTTTTGTTTGTGAGCCTAGCCTTTAATGGCTAAGGTATCTCTTCAGCCCAGATTATTCCCATTTTTCAAATACCCATTTGAAGACAAAGCTAGTGGTAGAAGTAAAGCTGTGTGCGTGCATGTATGCATGCGTGTGTGCATGCGTGTGCACGTGTCCGTCCCCCCCATTTGTGGGTGTGCGTGTGTTGTACCCCAATGGTTTGGGTCCTGACCCCCAGCTAGGGGTGAAGGAATGAAGAAAAGACAAACACGGAGACATGTACAGAAAAGCTGGGGTCACATGGGGTGTGCTCACTTTAATGAAGTGGCAGTTACTACTACCATCAACCAGGAACCTCCTCAGCGTTTTATTAGGTACAGCAAAGAGGGAGGCTTAGCTAATCTCAGGAGAAGTGTCTGTAGGTAGACACTCTCAGGCTGTAAACATCTGAGAGGAGGAGGAGGAAGCTACAGTTGCTGGTTTCCAGCACCCCTAGGAAAGCTTTGCTATCCTCCTTTTGAGCATGGCCCATATGGTAAATGGCTTTGTTAATTTATAATGGCTTTGAGGCTTTGGAGTCCTTCTCATAGCTCTGTGCATGTCAGCAATACACATGGACTCAAGACTTCAGTCACTTGGGACTTGCTCCACTCTATACACAAGTGCATGATTGTGTGCATGCGTGTGTGTGCATGAGTGTACCTGGAGGCCAGAGGTTGACACGGGGTGCTTCAGTCTCCACCTTCTTCATTACAGAGAGTCTTTGACTGAACCTGCAGTTCATGGGTTCAGCTAGACTAGTTGATCAGTACGCTGAAGGCAGCCTCCTGTCTCTGCTTCCCCAGGGCTAAGATTCCAGGGGTACATCAGTGTACCTGGGTTTTCATAAGGGTGCTAGGAATCTGTGCTTAGGTCCTTGTGTTTGTTCAGCAAGCACTGTATTACCTGAGCCATTGCCACAGCCTTAGAATTGAGACTTACTTTTTTTTTTTTGGTTTTTCGAGACAGGGTTTCTCTGTGTAGCTTTGCGCCTTTCCTGGAACTCACTTGGTAGCCCAGGCTGGCCTCGAACTCACAGAGATCCGCCTGGCTCTGCCTCCCGAGTGCTGGGATTAAAGGCGTGCGCCACCACCGCCCGGCTGAGACTTACTTTTAAGATAAACTTAATTTATTTTGATTGGATGTGTATGAATGTTTGCCGCATATATGTATGTACACCACATGAGTGACTAAACTGCTAATTTTAAAACCTTTGTGCTTGCACATTTTCCAATGAGGAACATTGCCGTGTTGGTTTGAGTGTGTCATTTAAGTTTAGTTGATAAAAATGGACTTTTGTTGCTATGATTTATAGAATTTTAGATTTACTGACATACAGGATTTAAAAGAATGAGCTTTTTTATACAGCCGATACTGTATCGGGAATATGCCCCCCCCCCCTCATTTTTTGTGACAGTTACTTTATTAGTGTTCCAGTTTTGTTACTAAATAGCAAATAAATTGCTGTTAAAACTGTTAAATGGGCAAATTATGCTGATGTATATTTAATCAATTGTTTTTTAGATGGCAAGATTGTTTTACCAGGCAACTTCCTGTACTGTACATTCTATGGACGACTCTGCAAGTTACAAGTGTTGCAAGTAAAAGGGACAGATGGCACAACATTGGGCAAACCTCAGAGTGCCTCTGCTACTGATAGCCAGGGCCTGGCCTCTGAACACTCTAGCATGGAAAGCAGTGACGGGGATATATCCTTCCAGCTAAGCCAGTTAGATCTGAAAGAGCCTCAGAGCCCAGCATCCCAGAGTACTCCCTGTAAATCCATTAAAGACAGAGTTATGAATAAAGCTGGTGAAGTTTTGTTAGATGTTACACAGAGCCCCAGGGATGGCAGTGGACTTGGACTGGAGGAAGTCACAGGTCCTAAGTGTAGTTTTGATTCATCCAGAGAAGGAAATACACAGCCTGTCAGTGAAGAAAAACTACTGAAGTCTACCAGTGCAGGGGCAAAGAGGAATACTGATACTTTTTATTTTATTTCTTCGACAACAAGAATCAACCTTAAAAAAATTTGTACAAATTCAAAAGAACACGACAGCCAATTCAAAGTAACTTATGACATGATTGGAGGCTTAAACAGTCAGCTGAAAGCAATAAGAGAAATAATTGAACTGCCTCTCAAACAGCCTGAACTTTTCAAGAGTTACGGTATGTTACCTTTAGTTTACTGTGTTCATGTTACATTCAAACTCAAAAGTACTTAGTTCCATTCTCTAATATAATTTCTCACCCTCCTGTCAATTTTCTGCCTCGTGTGTTACAGTTGCTTTGGGAGATGATAATTAAATGGCTCTTCTCAATGCTTGGTCCTTTAAGTTATGATTCATGTGAGTGGCAGGTTTGTCTCTTATAGCATATTATCCACTGTTGGTAGACTTGTTAATGCTGGATAAGCCGTAATGTTTAAAGAAATAAACCAAAGATGGTCATGGTTTAGTTAAAATTATTAAGAAATGTGTGTGTGCCTAGAAGCGAGTGGTTAAGGAAGTAACTCAACTCCCAGGAAACTCAGAGCTACTCCTGCATGGTTGCTGTCCAAATCCTTTACTTCTGTTTTTTGTATATTACCCTCCCTTTCCCCCTTTTTACAAATCTTTATGTGTATAAAAGAAACTCATGAGTTTATGTGTTTGTTAGTAATTTTTGTATTCCTTAAGAGTTCAAGTTGGAAGAAATTACATTGTGTTCTGATTGATGAACTGTGCTGCCTTAGATGACACAAGACAAGGGCTCTTTTTTTAAAAAACACCAAAAAAATATGCATGCTTTCCTTGGTTTGTGATCTGTAGAGATAGAGGAAGCCATTGCTGGATTCAGGATTTGGGATGTGTAGTACATCTTTCTGGGAAGTAGGGGAAAGGTAGAATTCTCACTTTGTTGTACAAAGTAAGTTTCCATTTCTAGCTTAGGTTAGAAGTTGTATGGCAACTTAACAAGAATATTAATAATCATACTGAAAGCACTGGTTTTTGTGTTTGTTTTTCTTGTAGGGATTCCAGCACCTAGAGGGTTGTTACTCTATGGTCCTCCAGGCACTGGAAAGACAATGATTGCTAGGGCTGTTGCGAATGAAGTTGGAGCTTATGTTTCTGTAATTAATGGTCCCGAAATTATAAGCAAGTAGGTATATTACTTAAGTAAATGTTCATTACTACTAAGTTTACATATCTCAGTGGTGGCTTCTTAAATGGTTGTGTTATATTCTTCCTAGATAGTTGATGCTTTAAACTATTTTGTACTATTTTAAATTTTCCCTTTTTTTCTGATGCATGGTCTTACCTATGTGGCCCAGCCTGACCTTTACTGTCAGTCTTTTTACCTTCACACCCCCTCCAGAATTCTGAGACTATATATGTCCTTCTAAATTTGCTTTATAATGTGTACAAAATAGGAAAATACGTTTTGAAAGTAATTTTAAGTATTTTAGAAGTACTTGAAAATTCATACCACCTTTTATAAAAAAAGTTTTATAAATAGTAAGAAGTGTAAAACAGTACATGTTTTTTATTCATTACAGATTCTATGGTGAGACTGAAGCAAGGTTACGCCAGATATTTGCTGAAGCCACCCTACGGTATTATTAATATTTGATGCTTTGGAATTAATAATTGAGGCTCTATTTAAGTGAAAATAGTGGCAGTTTCTGCAAAACGAAGGAATAACACAAAGTGATGGCCTTAGATAGAGTTGATGGGGAGATTTAAGGAAATGTTATCTAGTCATTTGGAAGTTTGTTAAAAAGTTACTTAATGACATAAAGTAGAAGAATTAAGACATTAGTAGGAAACTTAGGCTGGGTGGAGATTCACCTCATGAGAATAGACTGTATTTGTCTGTCTTTTTCAGAAAGGCTGTGTCTGTTCTGAATCTTTAAAGTGTTTCTCTTAGCAGTTTCAGGGCTCGGGTCTAATATTACTTTTGAAACCTTTGCATGTGTTTTGGTTTAGTGTGAGAAATACCTTCATTCTACATGTGGGTATTTACTTTTTCCAGCATTATTTGTTGAAGAGCCTTTTCCCCCCACAGTGACTGTTTTAGATACCCTTGTTAAAAATTAGGTGGCTGTTGCTGTGTCCTTTATTCCATTAGTCTTTGTGTCAGTCCCGTGTGGGTTTTTTTGTTTTGCTATTTGAGATTTATTTGTTTATGTGTATTTTGCCTGAATGTATGTCTGTGCACCACATGCATACAGTGCCTGTGGAGGCCAGAAGAGGGTGTCTGATCCCTTGGAACTAGAATTACAGACGGTCGTGAGTCTTCATGTGGGTACTGAGAATCGAACCCAGTTCCATCTGCAAGAGTTACCAAGTGCTCTGCATTGCTGAGCCATCTCTGCAGTCTCCATGCTGTTTTTCTCACTGTGGTTCTTTAGTAGTTTGAGATCAGAAACTGGTAGCTCCAGCATTCCTTTTTCTGCTTGCTATGGTTTTAGATGCGATACTGTGCCAAAGGGGTCTGTCCTTACTTTATTTCTGTTACTGTGATAAAATACTCTGATAGAAAGCAACTAAGTGGAGCAAAGTTTTGATTTGTTTCCCCAGCTCACAGTTCTAGGTTGTAGTCCGTTACTGTGGAAAAGTCAAGGCGGCAGCATCTCGACACAGCTGGTCACATCACGTCCATGGTCAAGAGCAAAGAGAAATGAGTGCATAAACGTTCACTTGCTTGTGCTCAGCTGCATTTTTTCCTCTCTTAATGGTTAAGGATGTGTAGGGAATGGTGTCTTCCTTATCAGTTTACTTAAGATAGAGTCCCTCAGAGACATGCCTTAGGACCAACTCAGTGTAGACGGTTCTTTATTGAAATTCTAGAGAGATTCTAGGTTGTATTAAGTTGACATTTAAATCTAGCCATTCTGGACTCGTTTCTTCTGTATGAATTCTGGCATGTTTTTTCTAGTTTTGTGAAGAATGTCACTAGAATTTGATAGAGAGTACATTAAATCCATAGGTTACTTTTAGTAACTTGTAATGATTTTAATGGTATTAACTGTCAATCCATAGCATGGGAGGTCTTTCATTTTTTCTTGCCTTCTTTGTCTTTTTCAGTGTCTTGAAGTTTTCATGCAGTCTTTTCATCTACTTGGTTATATTTGTTCCTAAATTGTTTTCCTTTGTTCAAGTCACCGTGAATGGATGTGACTGGGATTATTTGTCCTGTTTTCTCTGGGAAAGTTTGTTATCATTATATAGAAAAGTACTGTTTTCATGTCAATTTTGTGTTGTTACTTTGCTGAACCTATTCACCATGTCTAAGTTTATCCTGCTGTAGTTTCTAGGTTCTTATATGTAGGATCGTGTCATTTGGGAGTAGGGATAATTGGAACTTTTTCCTTTCTGTCTGTACCTCTTTTCTTTTTCCCTTGCATTTTTCCTTTCCTTTTTGACAATCCTGAGGATTGATCCTAGGCTTCATGGATGCAAACAGACTTCCACTGAATTAGTTCCAGCAGCTCCTTTTATTTTTCTTACCTTACTGCTATGCCTGTGGCTGAGTACTGTATTGAAAAGGAGTGGTGAGGGTGTTGTTCCTGATTTTAGAGGAAATGCTTTCAGTTTTTCTCCATCTTGTGTTGTGCTAACCAAGGGCTATCTAGGCTTTATTATTGGCCGTGAGTTGGTCTACTTAGACTGAGGGCTATGGTATCACATGCCAGAGTTATTCTAAGTTTGTAAGTTCTACTCTTGGCCCTGAGGGCAGGCCTGTCTTTCTCTGTGCACTCCATTGCCAGAGCAGAGCTTCTTCAGCTTGTCAGTATTTGGCCTCAGGCTCTCCATAACTGCCCTTTAGGGCTTTGTCTCAATTTAGGTTAGTTTCAAATAATAGGTGTTCTCTCAAGATCTTACCAGCCTTTGCCCTAAGTCCCATACATAAATGGGATTTCTCTTTGCTGAGCCATCTGCTGGAAGAAATGCTATCTCGCTGAAAACCACAACTTGCCTTGAGGCTTTGTGAGAGCTCTGGCCTTATTTTGAGTGTAGGATTGTTGATGTGTCTTTTCACCAGTCTGCCTTTGAGAGTGGAAGTGGCAGGTGGTTCTTCTGTTTTTCCTCCCTTGGCTGGGAGACTGTGTACCTCCTGTCATTTTATTTATGCTTTTGAAGTATCTTGCCACTACTCTGAATCTTTGGAACTTTTGTCTTTGGAGTAGTCAAGTTTTTTCTTTTACTGACTTGTACCCTTCCCCAGGTCACACAGAGGTCTTTTATGGAAGGCAGATAGGCTAGAGTGTGAGGTTGATAACTTTACACTAGAATTAATCTAAGATTTTTTTTTGATTTAGCATTTTAGTGATTTTATTTTTAATATTGATAAATAAAACAAATGTAATATGTTTGTTTTTAGGCACCCATCAATTATTTTTATTGATGAGCTGGATGCACTTTGCCCTAAAAGAGAAGGAGCCCAAAATGAAGTGGAAAAGAGAGTTGTAGCCTCACTCTTAACACTGATGGACGGCATAGGCTCAGTAAGTACAACACTGGCATTTTGAGTTTGGAATAGCAAAACCTACCAAATATATCTGGGTCTATGAGTATCTCAGGATGAGGGAAAATCATCAAGCATGAAGCTAGGTTACCACTCAAAGTATTTTCCTTAATGACTGAGAGGCCCATATAGCCTGGCATGTTTTTCTGTTACATAAAATAATTTACCATAACATATGTGTGTGTGTGTGTGAGAGAGAGAGAGAGAGAGAGAGAGAGAGAGAGAGAGAGAGAGAGAAAGAGAGATATAATACTGACTTAAAACCCAAGACACAAGTCAATAAGGGAGATTCCTTATTAAATTTTAGTGAATTTTATTAACTCTCCCTGGGTATGGGTATATGCTTGTAGTCACACTACTTAGGAGGGTGAGGAAGGAGGATCATTTCAAGGCCAGGTACATAGTAAATATGAGGCCAGCCTTGGCTATGTGAGATTTTGTCTCAAACTAAATTTAGTAAGTTCATGAGTCTATTTTTTTCCCCCTTGAAATAGGTCTTGGTGTGTAATGCAAGGTGTCCTAAAATCTCAGTTCTCCTAAAATCTCAGTTCTTCTGCAGCCTCTCAAGGGTTATCGCTATAGTCAGCTATATATTTGTATATTAGTAAAAACTGTGGTATGCTAATTATGAACAGGACTAATATAGAATAGGGTGAAGGAAAATTTTTCTCAGACTTTTAACATCCATTAACCAGAAAAGTGTATTTCTTAGATTAGATTGAAAATGACCAAAGTTCTTAGACTCACAGTATGTTAGCATGAAGAGAAATTTTAGAAAGTACATAGTCCCATACCTCCCTTTTGCACAGGAGTGTTTGGTTTTATTTCCCATTTGCGGGAAATGAATATGTGAAAATAATGTGAATTTTTGGTATTCACTCAGTTAATCTGGTCTTTAAGCAGACCAGATCTGATTCTGGATGACTGATATAGAGGGCTACATTATAATTGGTTGTAAAGTCCTTTGTGAGAAAGGTGAGTTAGGATCAGTGTTGGAGAGTCTTAGACATCCGGGCGGTTGGTGGCTTTTTCTCTGCCACTGGGACAAGCCATCTGTGGAATATATTCTTGTCTTTGATAGGACTAGAACCATGTGACACTGATATTTTAATCTGAAAGGGGCCTGGATGTATGCTTTTAAATTTATAAGTTCATAGTAGATTATACATTTTCTGCTGGTATACTCATAATTGGTGATGTTTTGGTTTTCTTATGAAAAATCACTAGATTCTATTAATGCTTATCTTTGAAATTACACTTGGATCATCTGACTAAAACACTGGATAATGTCTGATGGCTGCTGAACATGGTGATCATAGTTCTTTACAATTTTTGTTCTTAACCCCATCTTCAGGGAGTAAAAAAATCTGTGTATTCAAGGATACTGGTTATAGTTTCATATTTTCAGGAATTTAAAAAGCATTACAGTAAAATATCAGGATTGTCAAGATGGCTCAGCAGGTAAAGACTTGCCATCAAGCCTGACAGTCTGAGTTCCATTCCCAAGACCTACACGGTAAAAGGAAAGGACCTACTCTTATAGGTAGACTTTTCTGTGTCCTGGCAGTTGCTCCCAAATAACCACACAGAGACTTAGTATTAATTGTAAATGCTCAGCCAATAGCTTGTTTTTAGCTAGCTCTTATACCTTAAATTAACCCATTTCCATTAATCTGTGTGCTGCCCTGGGGCTTGTTTACCTCATGTATGTACTTCCCATCCTGTTCGCTCTGCACCTCATGTGGTCTTCTCCTGACTCCGGAGACTCTGATCCTCTTTTTCTCCAGTGTTCTCTCTGTCCCGAAAATCCTGCCTAACCATCGGCCAGTCAGCTCTTTATTAGCCAGTGAGAGTAATACATATTTACAGTGTACAAAAAGATTATTCCACAGCACACTTTTGAAAATTTTGGCCTCTGAAAGAAAACAGTTGGTGTGTGAGAAAGAATTCTTAGATAAGTTGCTAGGTAAGCCTGGTTTTGTATGAATACTATATAGGTTGTAGTCTTCACTTCTAAGTAGGGGGAGAACTGCTTAACGACTGGAAACCTTTCTCAGGTAGAAAGCATTTAGGCTAAACTTTGAAATAAAGTACTAAAAGTTAATAAATGTTTAATAAAAGTTTATTGCAAATAAAATTTGAAAATTGGTTTGTAGAAGTATAAGGATTAATGCTTAATACTCTAGACCGTCCTATTCGTTCTTTTCCACAGAGTCAGTTTTCACCTCTCTAATTTTTTAAAACCAATATGTAATTTATTTTTATTTTATTTTGTTAGGAAGGAAGTGAAGGACGGGTATTAGTCCTTGGGGCTACTAATCGCCCTCAGGCGCTAGATGCTGCACTCAGAAGACCAGGACGATTTGATAAAGAGATTGAGATCGGGGTTCCTAATGCCCAGGACAGGCTTGATATTCTCCAGAAGCTTCTCCGAAGGGTGCCACACTTGCTCACTAAAGCTGAGCTGCTGAGGCTGGCAAATAATGCCCATGGATATGTTGGCGCAGACTTGAAGGCTTTGTGTAATGAGGCAGGTGAGAGTGACTATCTCTGATAGTCTGTATTGACAGTTTATGTATATACTGATAATATGTCACTTTTTAATAGAAAGAGCTTTATTTTGTTTAGTCATAAAATATATGTATTGAAAATGTATGTAATTTAGAAAACTATGAAGAACGGAAACCACTCTATTTTTACCTTTTCAAGCTCACCACCTCTAGTAGAACATACTCTCGGATTTTTCCTCAGCACTTGTGTGCATGTACACATAACCAGATGTGCAGATGTTACTATTGATGACAGTGTTATTACTGTGTTGTGGAACTCAGGAAGTTAGTTCTATTTTATTTTTATTTTTTAGTGTTTGTGTTGGAACCAACATAACAAAACTCAAGAATGTGTTACAGTGACATTTTAACTGCAAATGTATGAGGACATGATGGAATATGTGTGTACACATGTACCATAGTGCATGTGAGGAGTCTAGAGGATGATGTCAGGTGTCTTCTCTTTGCCATTCATCTTACTTGAGATAGAGTCTCCTTTTTTGCCAGAGTACATCAGGCTAGAGGGCCCTTGAGTTTCTGGTGGTTGTTTTTCTTCCTTTCTCTGCCTCATGCTGCTGTAAATGCTACACGTGCTACTGCATTGCTTCTAGCTGTATCCTCATGCTTACATGCCACGGCCTTTACCCCACTGGACCATCTTTGCAGCCCCTGTACTTTTGAAGCTCTTCTGGACAGTACTTTAGAGTATTTTCAACTATGGGAAGTGTGTTTAAAACAAGGTAGCTTTTTTGTAAGCTGTTGAAATAGTTGATTCAGCAACCAATTTATTGAAAAACCCCATTTTGTTTTCCTGAAGGATTTTATCCTCTTAAACTTTTAAAAATCAGGCACATGTCTGTAATCTTAGACGTATTCCCAGGCCTCTGTATGACGTGTTTTCATGTCCTTTCATATGCTGGGCTCTCTTTCTCTACTGTGGCATTATGTTGATTACAGTTTGTCATCCATCTTATATTTTTATATTACACTTTGAAAAAGGTTTAATTCTTGTAATAGTAGAAGAAATCTGTTTTTAAATGAGAAATTTCATTTAGAGCTTTAATTTTGAATGACAGTCAACTTTTGTGCCTAAATAACCAATTTATATTTGTATAATTTATTATGCTTTGAAGATTTCTTTGTTCCTTTCAACCTTTTTTAAGAAATAATTTATTTTTTATTTAATTTTGTGTATGTGTGTTTGTCATATGTGCATGAGTGCTGGTTCCCTCTGAAGCCAGAAGAGGGTTTGTGGTCCTTTGGAGCTGGAGTTACAGGTAGTTGTGAGCCACCTGATGGGGATGCTGGGAGCAGAACTGAGGTCCTCTGTAGCAAATGCTCAAATGATGAGCCATCTCTCCAGCCCCTTGTTTTATCCTTTTTATCTGCCTCCATGTGAGTATGGGAAGAGAAGGAAATACAGGGAAATAGATTCGGATGATATATATATAAGAATGCTTGAATGTCTTGATGGAAAAAATAATTTTTTCATTTTCCCACAATTACCATTAATTTCCAAGTTGGAGAACTACTGGGTGGGGGAAGTGGTGAATAGAAAACATTATTTAGTATAATAGAGCATGAAGATAGGTCATTTTTTGTCTTCTTTCCATGCTGCTTTTAGCTTCCTAGGGAGCAATGGGTCTTAATGTAGAAATAAATTTACTGTGATCCAAGACACAGATGTATCAGTGGATAACTTTGCTTCTTTTTGTCTACTAAGTGGTAATTAAGAGTCTGGATTACTGTGTTGATCTGTGGACTTGCCCATGATGCCTGGACAGGGTCTAGTCTTCAGTCCTTTAACAGATATTTTCTGACTTTATACTACATTCAGCTGTACTGAGAGAGACTTTATGATTCTTGCTTTTCAGAAAGAGTCTAACAAAGGAGAGAGATGTGTAAAGAACTGCTAGTTCAATAAAGAAGTAGTCATAAAGATGGGGAAAATACGGTGATTTTCTCAAGGAAAGGAAATGTGGTTCTATAGAAAATGTGGCCTCTGTGAAGCCAAAAGAAAAAAGAAGAGTTTCAATTGGATTAAGGAAGAGAACATGTCTCTTCACCCCTCACCAGTCCTGTGAGAGAAGCGGGTCAAGTAATAAAACGTGTTTAGAATGGGATGGCTTTACAGTTTAGTTATAAAATCTGTATAAAGTTTAAAAGAAAAAATACACAAGTATTTTCTGATCTGTCTTTTCCAGGACCTGATCTGTTTTACTATAGACAATTACTTTCTCAACTGTAAGAAGAAGATAGATTTTAGAAAGATTGGTGGTAGAATTAGTGTCCAGTATGTTAAATTAATGGTTTGAGTATGTTGTCCTGATTGCTAATATATGTTACAGTATTGGTATCATTTTAATCTTCATATAGCAGAATAAACTAACTTTTAAGAACAGGGTGTCAGAACATTGCTACAAGGAATTTTCTTAATGAGGCAGGATAGCAAGTGAATAGCTTTTCAATTTTAAAAAATGTATTTATTTTATATGGATGGATGTTTTGCCTGCATGCATGTTTGTGCCTGTGGAGGCCTGAAAATGGTGTCAGATCCCCTGGGACTGGAGTTAGAGACAGTTGTGAGCCCTGTGTGTGTGCTAGGAATCAAACCTCTGTCTTCTAGAAAAGTAGCCAGTGCTCTACTGCTGAGGCATCTCTCCAGCCTTGCGAATAGGTTTTGAGGAAGAGTTGGGTAGATTTGCATTTAAAATCAGGTTTGTGATCTTAGTCAAGTTTGAGCCTTATTCTCCATTTGTGAATTGAATAGCTTAAGGGAGATGACATTGGGGTGTTGTTGCAACTATGACTTTGATTGGATAAGAGAAAGGGAGAAGATGACACCTCAGTTATTCACTAAGCCTTTTGTGGCCTCATCATACAGAATCCCTGTAGTAGATAGATGCAGCTGGTTAGCTTTCCCAGAGTATGGGTTTCCAAGCCGTCCCACAGTGTGTAGGACTGAGGCTGCATCTTTTTTGATGAACTTATGCCACACTTGCTCTAACCTCTGGTCTAGTTCATCTCTGTATCCGTCTCTTAATTTTGATGCTATCTAAATATGAAAATTGGAAATATTACAATAGTATGTACCTGGCAACTAGATCTTTGTCCAGCCAGTTATAATACTTAATGTTGATAGTCGGGAGTCAAACTTATTTCAGATGTTAGATTTTGAGGTAGTGGTGTGCTGTGCACAACTTTTCCAGAGACTTCTGTTTTGTAGCTCACCTTTGTAAGCAAAGAGCAGCTTTTTGAAGTATTTTTATCTGAAGTGGATATACTGCTTACAACCTACACTGTCTTATCCTGCCTGACACTCAAGTCAGTGTGTATCATCTGGGCTTCAACTTCCTTTCTGACTAACTAGTTGCATAGCTTTTTATTCCCTTGTTTTATGTTTTAAAGTAACATAGACAAGCAGAGTAAACTCTTGGAAAACATGAAAGGCTAATTTTATAAACTGTGATGAGTGTTGGAAGATGCTTAGCAGTAATGTTTCCCAAGTATAGGGATTTATTATAAATTTACCTTCTAAGACTGCCTGATTATATTCTGAAATTGAATTTGATTTCTTCAGGGGGTGGGCTGTCAAATTTTTAATAGAGAAAGGAAGAATTTACTCTGTATTGCTGAGAGTTTACCTTAGCATTCATGTTAATTACACATTGTTTCAACATATTCATATCAAACGGTCTTTCTAAGATAGCGTCACGGAACAGAAGAAATTCCAACTTATTTACCTGTTGATTTTATTGTTGTAGCACTTAAATTGGTTTAATAGCAATATTGAGTCTGATTTTTGTGTCACAAAGAAGTTCTTACCTATTGTGTCCAGAGCTGTGAGATGTTCATACTTGACACTTCTCCCTGCATTCCCAAACTGGCTTTTTTTTAGCAGAAATTTTTGGAGCATCTGCTTTGTATCTAATAGTCTGTTATCAAAGGATCTGTTTCTGATATTTTTCACCAAATTTTGAATTCTACCAACTTCATTTGAACTAAAATATTGAGTCTATAAAAATTCTGTATTTTGAAGACCAGGGAAATAACATGGTTTATTAGAAGAAAGCTTGCGGAGCTCTGGGTTAAAATGGTAGTTTTATACTTTATCAGCCAAGAAGTAAGGCAGTCCATTCTGCCCCTTGATTTCTGTTTCTTTAGAAGTTAAACAGGGGAAATAGTCTTAAGATGTCACAGTAATAGTCTCTTTTTATGTATCTGTTTTATTTACTATTAGTGCTATGCTGGAAGAGATAGACTTGCCTTCTATATCCAGACACACGGGAGCTCAATGTGTTTGTTGAATAGATCATTATTTAAGAGACTCTCAATGAATATCAAAATGAATGCAATGTCAGTTGCAGGAGGCCATGGGAGTATACAGCAGGTAACAACTAGTGTTCAGCAGGTCGGCCCACTAGACAAATAACTCTGATGGTGGGAATCCCCACCTGGCAAGGCCGTGGGATCACTGATTGCAAATGTCCTGTTGCTGCTGTCTGTAGTTTTTCTCATGTGCCACTCCATTTCTCCCTTAATAACAGCTCTGTGTATTTTCCCACTGTTTGTGTGTTTATCTCGTGAAAATATTTCATCTTTAGGTACACTTATAGCTATGGATGGCCAGGAAGTTGATTTCTGTTTAAGCTGTATAATTCTGGTGAATTGAAATAATACTAGAATATTTTTCATAACTGACATAGGAAAGTAACAGTATTCTCCATCATAAAGACAGCAAATTTTAGACTTCAGAACAAATTCAAAACAGAGTAGCTTCCCCTGCAGAGAATTCACAAAGCAAATTCCCAGGTGTTTATTGCTGAATCAAGGTCAGACTTGAAGCAACTCTGGTAGACATAACCCCCTGCAGCAATTGACTTTCTGCATGTACTCCCAGCCTCAGTTTATGTTACAAGACTCAGGATTCAGCCAACCAACTGTTATTGTTAAGTCCTGAATTTCAGTGTCTCTTTCTGTTTGGG